GGACTCAGGTTGGCCAGGTTCTGGGTGTGCAGTGCAAAACGGGCTCAAGAGAACAAAGACATTCCAACCATATGACCCAAACCCATTCTTGTTTTTCTACTCTGGACCTCGTGTTGACATATGGAATGGAGTGTGAACAAATAACTGTATTTCCTCATAACCCTGTCCTGTGTTATCATTTTTGATAACCTTAAAAACAATATGATCTCTATTTAGTCCCTCTTGGCAATCAGATCTGTGCTTACATCAAACACAGAGCCAAGGTATCTATCTATCTAGTCTAAAGTATCTTAAAATTATGACTTTGAATCTCATAATGATTTTGAAAGTTGAAATTACTACTTTGTATCACCTAATTATGAACTTGACTTCCATGTCATATGCGTCACTACTGAATTATGCATATGAAATGAATGACACCCATGAGCATGTAAATTTTCTCAGATTGCCTGAGATTGCAAAGTAAGGTTAGAAATAATCATGAGAGCTCATGAGAACTAAGAGCAGACGAAAGGTTGATGGTGTCTCACCAGCTCGCCCTCACTGCCTCGATGTCACTCACTAAATTCTGGGCCAAACAAATCCCAAAAATCTGTTAAGAAAAGAAAACCAGACATATTTCATAAAGGGATAAATACTTTAGTTTCACTCTTTCTTTAATAATAAAACAGGTCAGTTATTGCAGAACTGACCTGCAATAATGCCACTCCAATGAAGATCCCAGCCACCAAGGTTAGGTTATCCTGGAGCCACCTTTCAAACTGAGGAACGCAGCCTTTCACATTGATGTAGTCCTTCTGCTCCGAGTCCTGTATGGGCACATATGTAAGTCATCTGTGGTTTTACTTATCCCATAGTCACAGTATTGGTTAATCACTCATCAATCACTGTTTAAGAAGACCTTAAACATTTCACTGAGGACAAGGGTTCCATTCCGAACTTTAGCAGAACTAGCTAACTTACTGGTTTTGCTCTGATGTCATAGCCACACTGAGTGTTTATCACATCCTCCTAGAGACAAAAAGAAATTATCTCTAAAAGGTTTGAAAGCCATCATACAGGAACTATGTGAATTCTGGGATTGAAGCTAAGTCATTTGTGGTGCAACAGCTTCTGCACTGTGACATCGACAGAAAGAGGCCAACGGTACCGCAGGGTCCTTGGTGCAGCAGGAGAAAGGAACCCCACATTTTTCCCGACTGGGATTTCCATCAGTACAATTAAAGTAAATGTTCAGGTTCCAGTCGTCCGCTCCGAATGCGCCACAGCACTCCCACTGCAGTCAGACAGAGAAGAGAAACACTTCAGGGACACCTGACATACTGTCAGGTCCTACATCCTTTACTGGCATCTATGTGGCTTTAAGTCTTGCTTGGGTCATAGTGTGTTTTCTGCAATGGAATTCCAGACTCAGTCCGTAAAAACAGCCCACTCCATCTAACACAGTAGCCGTCATAATTTGATCTCCAGCTTCTTTAGACCTCACAACAATTCTGCTGATTTAACATAAAAACATAGTAATGCAAAAAATGTTGCTTAAATCCAGCAGTTATGACCTGATAATTGCACCACTTAATCTCATGCTACATTAGGCTGACCCCCTCCATCTTCACTCCTGAAAATTTTCTCCAGTTCTTTGCTAGGATAAACTAAAGGACCTGACCTACCTTCTGGTATTCAGGTAAAAATGATTTGACTAACTGGCCCAAACTAGAGTGAGACTTGACAATGGAGAGGGGGATTATATCTGCAAACTGATGGACATTGGTCAGGGCTGATCATGATGAAAATCATCCATTGCCAATGACTACCTGACACCTCTAGTAAAGTTGTATTACAATGCAGTTAGAATCAAAAACACAGTACATGAACAGTTTGGCTCCAGGTTTTTAAAACTCTTTATGCTTCATTCCTGATAATCCGCGATGCAGAGACTGCTGGAAGATTTGAAGAAAGGAGACCAAAGTAGATGTATGCCACAGCCATGCGTCATCACATTTACTACGTATCCCATGACTCACATATTCCTGAGTGAAATCAATGAGGTTCTGTAGGTCGATGTCGTCCCTATATGCCCGAATGTTGTTGTTGATGAACAGGTTGAGTTGGTCCTTAATCCAGTCCTTAAAAACAAAGGCCAGAACTCCTGTTGTCAACTCCAGGAAAAAGATGATTCCCAGAAATACAGAGAACTAGAACAAGAGAAGAATCATGAATAGAAGTAAAATCAGAAACAGGAAGCAACCTTTATTCAGTGTTTATTCATGGTGCTTGCAGAGTAGAACATACAAACTTAAGCAAAAATGTATTTTCCCGAAGAGCTCCAATGCAGCCGGCAAAGCCCAGAATGAACATAACCCCTCCAACCACCATAAAGAGCCACACAGGGTCAAGGCCCCCCAGGTCGGTGATGGATGAGATGTTTGACAGGACACCCTGGAGAGGACAGGACACTGGATGTGAGTCAAGCAGTTGATCCTCCTCTGGGTTATGTCATGTTTGGCAAATAGTCAAAGTGACAGGAAATAGACAGGAATGATGGTACTGGCACATAGAGAAAGCGCTACTGTAAAATTATTTTGTCTGAAGTTTCATTTAAAAAAAATAATAGTGTGCTCACCTTCTCACTCCATGCCCACAGTCCAATCCCTACTAATGCCATGCCCAGCAGCTGCAAAACACCAGTCACATCTTATTACTGGGAGATTGTACAGATGCACAGAGATAAAATGTTATTCAGGAAAAATACTGAAATCCTTTCCCTGGGACAGCCTCGGCCTATACTAGATGGCATTTGTTTAACATTATCAGCAGTGAATGGTATTCACACTCCTTAAACTTTTTTGCATTTTATCACAATGTAGTGGGTTTTATGAGACAGATCAACAGTAGCATCACTTTCTAGTCTTGCTACAAAGCCTTATTTTGACTAGACAATCATAATGCTATGCTATGAATATGATATGATGTAAGTCGTTTCATTGCATCTCTGGCTGGATGTTCAGGGTTGTTACCCTGCTGGAAGGTCCAACACTGTTGACCAGCTATCCTTTACCTGCTCACACCACTCAGACCATACGATCCTTAAGGTCAGCTAAAAACTCATCTCTTTTCTCTGGCGTGTGAGTGATTGTGTAAGAGACGCTAAATAGTTCTTTGAAATCCCAACGTTGTGTTGTATTCTATTTGCTATTTTATGATTGTGGATATAACTGTGAAGGACTTCAGTCTACTTTTGCTGTTTTAAATGTGCTACATGAATAAATTTGGCATTGCAGATAAACCAACATCTTCCCTCCTTTGCAGCAGCAACTAATCGTGGCTGAAAATCAAAGCAGGCAGATGTTGATTAAAGATTAAAACTCTGCTAAGATGAAAAGATCTAAAAAATCTAAAAAAGAGTTCTTTCTCTTTAGTTCGAAAGGCAAAAACAAGGGCAAAAGTGCTGTTCTTAGATATTTAGTCTATGAGACAGATGGACATAAAAGACAGATTCAGCCTTTCCTGAATGGATCACCCATCATGCCTCGGATCATGCATCCATGCTTTCAGACTTTGTTGACCAAATTCTGACCCAAACTACCTGAAAGTCGAAGCTGAAATTGAGAAGGACAACATATCTACAATTTTTTGTTGCTTTTTTTTTTTAATTAAGATTTTATTGTTCTAGTAGCCTTTATTTGATAGTGGTTGTTACAGCTTCAGTGGGTCTCTGCCCTTTTTTCCTTTTAGGGTTCTGCAGACAGGTCTCTGCAGGTGATGTGTGTTGCCCTGATTGGTGTTCTGCAGCTTTAAAACTGCCAGGCATGCAGCAGTCAGGAGGCTTTTCCCTCCTCTCTCCTCAGATCCCTATTTGGTTTGGTTTGTATCTTATGGTTGAGATTTGCTAGTTTTGCATTTGCTTATTTCTGGTCGACTATAGGTTCTGCATTAATCTATTTTGGTTTCTCATTTCAGGAATTCCTTTTTCAGGTTTATTTCTTTAATATAATTTAATAAATTCTATTTTCATTAAGTCATTAAATCCTTGTGTGGTCTCCTTTAATGTTGCCCCATCAAACAAGCCTGATGGACGTAACATTGTGGGAGCTTGTCCAATTTATGTGGACTAATTATGCTTGTTTGGCCTCATTGTTGTGTTCAGGTTGCAGTTACATGCCCCTGACTTTGGTTTTTCTGTATTGCAGGTTATTTGTAGGTTTTTTTTGGCTAGTTTAAGGTGTTTAACCTTACTAGATTTTGGACATTTTTGATGTTCCATATGTATGTTGTTGGAGGTCCATGAGGATTTTTGTACTTTTGTTGGAGGGGGAGAGAGTCTTGTTTTGTAATCGGTAAGTGCTGTCTGGTATTTATTGTTTTTGGCAACTCCATTTTAGACGACTTCTGTTTGTTATTTTAGTTTATTTCTGGGCTGAGGGCACCGCTGTGGTTTGCTGCCTGAGAGGTTTTGGCCTGGAGGGATTTTCTGCCAGCAGGATCTTGGTGCTTCAAGTGCCTTGGCTCTTGGAGGAAGGCCTAAAGACTAGGCTAAGGTTAGTCAGGGTTTTGGCACTTAGTTAGCTGTAGGAAAATGGAGACTTGCCATTTGTTTGTACCAGTCATGCACTTCCTTGTGGTTGTTGTTTAAATAATTTGGTATATTTTGACTTGTATCATTTTTTGGAAGTTGATTTGTTGGGCTAGTTTGGTTTGAAAATGGATAATGTAGGTTCTTGTTTTCCCCAACGTTAGAACTATTGGAAAAGCTTACAAAGGAGGAGATTCGTCAAGTAGCTGAACACTTTAAAATTGATCTTGAAGCTGCAAAAGGATTAGTTACCTCAGCTAAGGAGTTTCTTAAAAGACAAACTTATAAGACTGACTGTTGTGGTGGCGCAGGGGTTAAGCACAACCCACATATGGAGACCTTAGTCCTCGACGTGGCTGTCGCAGGTTCAATTCCCAACCTGCCGACCTTTGCCACATGCCTTCTCTCATTTCCCACTTTCCTGTCGATTAACTATCAAATAAAGGCCACTAGAGCCAATAAAACCTTAAAAAAAAGACTGGATGTCTTTACTGTCTCTCTTTCAGATGCCGATGTGACAGATGAAACTTCCTTTGGTTTAGAATCTTAAACTGGTGCCTCAAAGTTGGAAGATGAATTGTCAAGTCCAACAGTATCTCAAGCTTCTCAATTAAAGTTTCAGTCTAAGAGAACTGAAACTGGCTAGCACTTGAGCTTTAGGAGAGAAAACTAGCTTTACAGGAAAAGTGGCTGGCTTATGAGCAAGAAGAAAAGAGGTTAGCACATGAGTTGGAGGTGAAGAAATTATCTCTGGAAGCTGAGCGTCTGAAGTTGAGGTCTGAGGGCAGATTAAGTGGTGGATCTGTTAATCTGTCTCAAGGTGGTGATGGGTTTTCTGGAAATAACTTTAACCAAGTTATGGACATGTTAACCACATGTTGAAGCTGAACAAGATCTTGATGTGTTTTCCTCTTTGTTTGAGGACATGGCAGAGGACAATGACTGGAGTGATCTAGATTGCTCCATGCTGCTGCAAAGTGTGCTGGTGGGTAGGGCCCAAGAAGCTTATGTTTCATTAGTTTCAGCTGAAAGAAAGGTATACAGATCTATTAAAGATGCTGTTCTAAAAGCTTATGAACTTGTTCCTGAGCATTACAGGCAACAATTTAGGAAATGCAGGAAAACTGTCAGTCAAATACAGATCTTGTCAGAGAATTAAACACCTAGTTTTATCGCTGGTTATCAGCTGAAGGTGTGGATGATTTTGAATCACTTTGTGACTTGATGGTGTTGGAACAGTTCAAGAACATTATTCCAGATCGGGTGGCCATATGTATTAATGAACAAAAGGTAAAAACTGCTGCTAAAGCTGCTGTCTTAGCAGACGAGTATGTTCTGACCCATAAAGGTGTGAGGGATTCTAATTTGAAAGGTGACCACAGCCTTAAGGAATTTCATCACGACCGGTTTCCTGGTAAAAATAGATTGGATCCTACATTGAGATCTAAAGTGGACTTGGTTTGTAACTATTGTCGCCAGAAGGGACACTGGAAAAATGAGTGCCCTCTGAATACCAAAACTAAATCAAGTGGGCGTAAACGGGATCATCAAAAACCTGTGGCTTTAGCCAGGGTTGCACAGTTGCATTCAGTGGAGTCTACACCTCTAGCTAAAGTTGAAAGTATAAGACCAACTGTTTTAGCTGCACCTGTTGACTTTCAGTCTTTTTCAGAACTGACTGATTCAGATCCCCAGACTTTTGAGAAGGATGTCGGACAAGATTACGCTCCTTTCATCACACATGGGTTTGTTTCTCTGAGTGGCAGTTCAAATAAAGTGGCTGTGAAGATTCTGCGTGACACTGGAGCTTCTGAATCTTTCATATTGGATTCTGTTTTGCCATTTTCTACATGTTCTGATACTGGTTGTAGTGTCTTAATTAGAGGTATTGGGATGGAAACTTTCTCTGTGCCTCTCCATAAGGTCTATTTGCAGTCAGAACTGGTACAAGGAGAAGTAATGATAGGTGTTCATCCTTCTTTGCCTTTGGAAGATGTGTCTCTCATTCTAGGAAACAATCTGGCAGGTGGACGTGTGTGGCGAGATGTTGCACCTCCTCTAGTGGTCCGAGCGTCTCCATCTGTTTCCATGTCAGACAAATGTGCTCAAGACTTTCCTGAGGCATTTCCAGCTTGTGCAGTAACTTGTGCCATCACTCGTGCTTTGGCTGATAAGGAGGTTGAGTCTGGTAAGCCTGGCTCTGTTCTAGCGAAGACTGCCTGTTTGCCAACTCTTCCTGTTCCTTTGTCACTCAGTGAGTTGATTGCAACCCAGCAGGAGGACACAACCTTAGCTGCTCTGTTTGACCAAGTCCAGACAGCTGAACAGGACACAAAAATGTCATGTGGGTATTTTCTACAAGAAGATCTGTTGGTACGTAAATGGCTACCTTACAGTGACGGGGATATTGTTGGTCCAATTTATCAAGTTGTTGTTCCAGTCAAGTTCAGAAACCTTGTTTTGAAAACTGCTCATGGAGAACTGTCTGGCCATTTAGGAGTCAGTAAAACTTATAATCGAGTTTTACGTCATTTTTATTGGTCACGTCTGAAAAAAGATGTTGCTTATTTTGTGAAAACCTGTCACACTTGTCAATTAACTGGGAAACCTAATCAGACTTTGAAACCAGCTCCACTTTTTCCAATACCTGCTGCTGGTAAGCCTTTTGAACACTTGATCATTGACTGTGTTGGCCCATTGAGTCCTTCAAAGTCAGGATCGGTGTATTTACTGACGGTTATGTGTAAAAGCACTCGTTATCCTGCAGCATATGCTCTGAAAACCATTACAACAAAGTCGGTGGTCAAAGCTTTGTCTAATTTCATTTCAGTGTTTGGAATTCCAAAGACCATTCAGACTGACAGAGGTAGCAATTTCACTTCACGCATGTTTGCTGAGATTTTGAAACAACAAAGCAGTGCTTATCATGCGCAAAGCCAGGGGGCGCTAGAGCGTTTTCACCAAACCCTGAAGGCATTATTGGGGACATACTGCACAGAGTTGAGTAGAGACTGGGAAGAAGGTCTGCCTTGGCTACTTCTGGCAGCTCGTGAAGTTGTACAAGAGAGCACAGGGTTCAGTCCAAATGAACTAGTGTTTGG